CGCATGAGGCGGGCGATGGTGCCTGCCCAGACCCCCGGGCGGATCCAAAAAGTAGATCCGAATGTTGATGGTCCGAAGTAGAACCACTCCACTAAAAGTGGATCCGCGACCATTTTTGGGTGAAACAGCGAAACCTACAACTTGAGCAAAACAAGCGAAAGTTCGCAGATGTAACCCACAAACACAGTAGGCAGCAGATTCTTCTTGTTTGTAGTCGGTAAGGGCGGCAAAGGCAAGCAGTCATGCTAGCAGTGGTGCTATTTTGTCGGTATTCATATACCTCTCGGTGCATCGAGCCGTGTTTGCGACAGCATGGCTTGAACCGAAATGATTAGTCTTTTCTTCTCTCCTTACTCTTTTTTCAACGTAATATATTCCTATATAAACGAAGATCAGGGTGCTCAGGGTTTGGTGGTGCAGGATTCCCCAAAACCATAATAATTTGTTGTAGGGTTTAGGGTTTAGGGTTTAGGTTTAGGGTGAGGTGTTTAGGTTTAGAAAGATTTCGGGCCGGGTTTTCACTTATTTTTGGCCTTCGGATTCGGAGTCTGTATAAGGGTTTAGGGGCTGCTGATGGGGGAGTTGGATGGAATTGGAGCTCGGGGGCTCGAAGACTTCGGGGCTTGGTGGTGCAGAGTTCCCCAAGACCATATAAATAGTTTCAGGGCTGAGGGTCAGGTTCAGGGTGTAGGGTTATTTGGTTTAGTATAGAATTCGGGCCGGGTTTGCGAGGGTTTAAGTGGTGGAAGGCTTGCTTCTATCTAAAGCGGAAGTCTTCACAGGGCCCCAAAATCAAAAGCAAACCTCGCCCTTGCAGCTCTATGTCATTGTAAGGAGTCCTTTACAGCCTGAATCCGAAGCAAAGCCCTGGCCCGGAACCCTTAACACCCTTCCAAACCCAGAAACCCTAAACCCAAACCCATACCCCTCTTTATCGCCGATCCTTTGGACGACGGTGGCGACTCTTGGCTTTTGAAAATTAAAGGGCAGGGATGCTTCGGAGCCTGAAGATTCGGATCTGTCGTGCACTTATTATATTGGGGGGCCTTTACCATAAACCCTAAACCCATTTATATTTATATTGTCCGTATTTGTTTAGAAGGATGGGGCTCTCGATCCGCCCTCGCGTGCACACACCGATCGCTGTACAACCGCATCACCAGGAATAACATCCCAGATATAGAAGCAGCTGAAAGCATTCCTGAGCAGCACCCCACACAAAACAATTAGACTAGATCCCGAATTAAGCCTTAGGATAACGAGCTAGCGAGCCCTTATAAACCACACAACAACACCTGTTAAATTGGATCGAGTCGCTTGTGTGTGTCATCCATGCAGGGGAACCAGCCACGAGCCTTTTGTTGGTTAGAAGGGTCAGGGGTCCACGAGCGGGGCGGGCTTATGAAGTATTGGGAGTAGAACCTTCAACCCACTATTTGCTATAAATCTACTACAATAACCTTAGCCTTCCACAGGTGTGGCCTCGATTTGAGAAAGCGTGTTTTTTTTCAGGCTTCGGTGAACCCCCCAAGTTTGGCATTTCGGTGTGTTAAGCTGATAAAGTGTCGGCTTTCGGAATTGAACCCTCGAACCCTTGAACCCTAAAACCCCAAAGTCCACACCCCAAAACCCTAAAGCCTAAACCCTTAAACCCTGGAGCCCTAAAAACCTTAAGCCCCAAAATCTTTAATGACGGCACAGAAACCCTAAATCTCACTACCACGAAGCCCTAAATCGTGGAACCCGTGCCGGCGACACTTAGATAACATAAACGTGGAACCAGGACTCGTAACAAAGCCGTCGGCGCCCGGAACTCGAAACACGAAACCTTACCCCGAGACCAAGTGCTCTCAAGCCACATCCTCCTTCCTGACCAAACCACAGCTCTGCAGCAGAAAAATCATGGAGTCGTAGGTGGCTGATTGATACCTCGACCAGGGTTTCGCCCGTACTATCAGGAATAAGGGTTTGGTAGGTTTCGTTGATTAGTGAACCCTTATAAACCCTAAACCCCCCTAAACCTTGGTTAGCGAAGTGGGAGGGGAAAAAATTCTAAACCCTAAACACCATGTAGATCGAATCATCCCAGTGGGGACTACCATATTAATTGAGGATTGGAAACATCAGCCTCTGCGATCAAGCGGCAGCAAGCGACTCAATCAGCAGCCGGGTCAGTCGTCAGCAGAAGAGTTCAGGGCTTCCAGCATTTGCAACTTGCGGTAAACTGCCATCGCCCAATTACGACGATGAACGGAACGGCTCACTTTAGCAATAGCCCCGTTGTAGGATTCGTCCACATAAGTAGAAAACATCCTCGGATTACCTTTCTGTCTGGCCTGAGAAACAAGGTGGTACATAAGGTGGCCCTTTGGTAAAAAAGGCACACCAGCCCTTGAGCAAAGCTGTATGAAGCGATGATAGTGTGAAAACAAAGCATCGCATGCTTCCTCTGGAAACACTCTGTCGTGCTCGTTCATAGTCTGATCGAAAGCTTCAGCTGCACAACCTGCCCGATGAAGAAGATCAAACATTTGCGACTTGTCACTTTTCTGAAGCACCTCCTTGTATTTCTCAAGTGTCATGACCACAAAGCGAAGTAAACCGTGTGTCTCCGCTGCTTTGCACTTCAGTGCTTTCTCGGCAAGCATGGTGAGAGTGAGGTTCCACACCTACAAAGTATATTTTGTTTCACGAAACAAGGCTTCTCTTCTTACAATATTTTAACCAGCAAACTACTTGGGCTGCGGACAAACATTCCTCTAAACTCTAAACCACCTATACTATACCAAAGACCCTAATCTACTAAATGGTTATCTATGCTGGCTACAAATACCTGTTGTGGGCTTGGCTCTCGATGTTTACCTCTAACATAGTCACTTAATATTAAGACTGTCGTATTGTAAGTTTTAATGATCGTTTTCCTCCCCACCTCAGAACCTTTCTTGCTCCACTCCTTGTCTGTGGCACGTCTGTACTTGTAGAACATCCATAATTCTGCCTTGAGGGCCATCAAACAAAGCTTGTCATTTTCTTCCTTGTCTAGCACTGCCGAATTGCCAGGCTTGTAGATCTCTGTGTTCAGCAAAGCACGAAGAGTAAATGTCAGATAAGTAGACATGGGTCCATAGTGCCACGAGTGTAGCAAGTCGATAGCCCACGTGTTCAAGCTGACTCCTGGGATCTGCAGCAGTGGAGACATATGCAAAACCCGGCCATGTTCCCCGGCCACATAAAAAATGCAGGTGAACGGACACTGCTTTTGTTCGAAAGACCCCACATCTTGCAAAAGTGTAGAAGGCTCCAATCTGGCCATCTTCGGAAGTCCTAGCTGATCGAATGCTTTTTGCAAGCAGCGTCCACGGCCTTTCTTGCGATAGCAAAGAAGCTTCGAGATCTGCTGTTGAACATGTACATCCGGAATCGTGACCTCCTCGATTGACGAAGAACATTGTGTGAATTCGCTATGCAGAATCCGGAGACACCACACAAACACTATTATGGCTCGGCTTCATCAATAAAACAGAATGATGAAAATGCATAAACCTATAAACCATCTAAGCTATACTAGTGTCGATGACAAAGATCCTTGAAGTTCTTGGACAAAGTAGTTTCGTAACTGTTTTCGTCGTACAACGGGAATGGGCACGACTTGCTGCTGAAACCGTCGATGCATTCCAGCTGGGCTTTCTTGACCAGACAACAAGGACAGGCGTGATGATTATGGGACCAAGTTCTCAAAGCAGCTATCTCCACCAAAGCAGCCCAATCAGCCTTGAAGTCAATGATCGGCATTCTCAAATCCGGATGTTGTTCAGTCAAATCTCGCTTGAATGCTTCCAATAATGGAAACACTGAACACCAGCCTCTGCAGCCACAGCCACACAGTTCCGATAATCCTGATATTTGGTCGTGATCTACGATTCAAGTTTTGTTTTCAGCTAGGACACATATTGTATTATATAGAGACCAAGTAGGAGAACCAACACACGAGTATTTCTCATACATCCCTAGACACATAGACACCATAACATCCAGACACATACACTTACACAAACTTTCACTATTTCTAGGTTCTAGACCTAGACCTTAAAGCTTAATAGCGGGGCAAACAATCCCATAGCATACACGTGCACACACATACACATATACATGCATGCAAGCACACATGTAGAGGCTACAAACC